CATCAAATAGCATTTGTCGAGTCTGAAGCTACACAGAGTTCCGGTACGTTGAATTTGATTTCATATGACAATACGAAATTTTTCGCATGCATTCTGTTAGTATATTACAATGGTTTTATCGTCCCTTATGATTCTACACTTCGCAGGGATCGTAATGAATCTCATTTCTTTGTAGCTTAATATCATCTAATATTATTTATCGTGCTTTAAATATTACGGATTTCCCTTTCGTGGAATAAGGTTTGCATATGGCAATTCAAAATACTCCACATTCATTCCGACAATATATCGTATCGTTTTTATGGCCTTACATTATTCGAAGCAACGCGGAGTTCACAATGACCTTCATTATTTTATACATAAATATTTAATATCATTCACCGTTCCTGAAATATTACGGAATTTCTGTAACTGACCTGAGGTGTTTACATATGATCGTTCAAATTTTTCCGCATTCATTCTGTCAATATATGGATTCCTTTATCTAATATTTTTCAACGCATCGCGCGGTTCACAATGAACACAATTTTTTTCGTATACAAATATCATCTAATATTATCCATCGAAACTGAATATTACGGTGTTTCAGTACATGGAATTAAGTTTGCATGTGAACATGTAATATTATCCACAATCGTTCTGCCAATATATCGTTTCGATTTTTTGGTCTTATGTTATTCTATGCATCGCGTGTTTCACAATGAATTATACTTCCTTGTGCATAAATGTCATCTTACATTATGTATCGTTCTTGATTTATAACAGTATCCGGTACATCGAACTTGTTTTACATATGGCTATTCAAAATTTCCACTGTCATCCCGTCTACATATTATGTCTACTTTATAGTACTCTATTATTCTACGCGTCACGGAGTTTACAATGAACACTATTTGTTTATCATAAATAATATCTAATATTATCAATAGAGTCTGAAATCATACGGAATTCCGGTTTGTATACTGAGCTTCAAATATGATGATTCAATATTTTTACAACCATTATGTCAATATGTCATATTTTCTTCATGATCTTACAATATTCTGTGAATCGCAGGATACTCCATGAACTCCGTTTTTTGTGCACAAATAAGATCTAATATTGTTTATCGTGCTTGAAATGAGACGGAGTACCGGTACATGGAATGAGTTATGCATATGACATTTTAAAGTTTCCACACAAGTTCTGTCACTATATCATATCGATTTTATGGTCTTATATTAAACTGTGCCTCGCGGGATACATAATAAACGCCATTATTTGTGCATAAACATCCTCATATTATATATTGCCTAGTATATTTCCATTACGTAGAATGAGGTTCTACATATGAAAATTCAAATTATTACAAATTCATTCCCTACATGTCATATAGATTTTATGGTCTTATATTTTTGTACGCAACGCGGAGATAACAATGTACAACATTTTACTGTATACAAAATATCTCTATTATTATTTATCGTTTCTGAAATATTACGGAGTTCCATACGAGAAATGAGGTATACATATGTAACTTCAAATTATTCCACATTCTTTCTATCAACATATCTATCGACTTTATGAACCAATATTATTCTACGCATCGCGAAGTTAACAATGAATACCATTTTTTAAAACATAAATTGCATCTAATGTCATTTATAGAGCATATAATATTACGGGTTTCCGTAATAGTGAAATGAAGTTTACTTACGACACTTAAAAATATTCCACAGTCATTCTGCCCACATATCATTTCGATTTTATGGTCTTATATTATTCTACTTATCGCGGGGTTAACCTAATTTCTTAGTACGTGTATAACATCTAACATTATTTTTCAAGCCAGAAATATTACTGAAATCCTATACGTGGAATGATGTTTACATTTGACAATTCAAAATTTTCCACACTCTTTCCTTCAAAACATCATGACGATTTTCTGGGCTTATATTATGATACGCTTCGCGGGATTCGCAATGAACACTATTTTTCTGGCCATAAATACCATCTAATATCATTTACCGAGACTGAATTGTTATGGATTACCGGTACGTAGAATGAGGTTTATGAACCTCTAAATTTCAACATACAATTTCTGTCAACATGTCATGTCGATTTTATGGTCTTACATTTTATTCTACGCATCGCGGTGTTCACAGTGAACACTATTCTTTTGACATAGATAACATTTCATGTTATTAATCGTGCCTGAAATACTACGGAGTCCGAATACTTGTAATGAGGTTCACATATGAACATTGTACAGAGACAAAATCCAATATTATTTATTGCCTCTGAAGTATTACGAATTTCCGGTACGTGGATCGAGGTATATATATGACAAATAAAAATATTTTACTCTGTCAATATATCATAAATATATTTTTGTCTTATATTTTTCCAATCGCGGGGTACACGTAGAGTTATATATGCGTACATAAATATCATCTAACGTTACTTGTCGAGGCTGAAATAACACTGTGTTCTTGTGCGTTGAATGAGGTTCACATATATATCACCAATACCTTCCACATTCATTTTGTCAATATATTATATCGATTTCATGGTCTTATATTGTTCTACGCATCGCGGGAACCTTTACGAACAAAATTTTTTCCGGTACGGAGTAGGAAGTTTGCATGAGGTACTGCATGATCTCAAACATACTCCGTATCCTTATATTATCTCGATTCGATGGTCATGTATAATTCTACGCATCGTATAAGTTACTATGATAACAATATTTTATTATGAAACAGCAACCTATCGTTATTAATAAGGCCTGAAATAATACGGTGCTCCGGTGCGGTTCGAGTTGGATCCATACGTATGTCCATTCAAAATATTCGACATATTCCCTGTAAATATATTCAAACAATTCTATGGTCTTGAACCATTGTACGCATCGTGTTAAACATTATGAACACAATTTTTTATTATAAAATACTTATTTAAGGTTATTTATCAAATCTGAATTGATATCGTGAACCTGCGCGTTACGATGCTTACGTAAGACAATTCAATATTTTCGACATTCATTCTGTCAGTACGTCATGTACTTTATGCTCTTTATGCTTTATTATTCTACGCAATGCAGGGTGACAGTGAACATAATTTTTTTGTATAGAAATATCATCTAACATTATTTTTCGAGCCTAAAATATTACTGAGTTCCGGTACCGAGTATGACGCTTACATGTGCTCCTTCAAAGATTCATACATTCATCGTACCAATATATGATCTCGTTCTGATGCTCTTATGTTATTTTACGCATTTTGGAGATCAAAATACACACATTTTCATATATAACGACTATCTAATTTTATTTATACTGCCCGGAATATTACTGTTATTACGACCTGAGGGTCTCATACTATTCCATGCATCGCGGAGATCCCTGTGAAAAAAATTTCTAATATATAACGATGGTCTAATGTTATTTATTCACCCTGAATTATTGCGCTTTCCCGAGACATATATTATTTACATATGTTAATTTAGAGTTCTCAACATCCATCTACCAATCGTACGAATCGTACTTCAATCTGGTGTTCCTATATTATACTACGCATCGCGGTGATCACTATGAAAACAAATTTATGCAGTATGACGAATATTTAATGTTAATTATCGACCATGAATTTTTGCGGTCCTCCAGTACGTTTCGGTACTACCATGTGAACACTACATCAATTCTGTCTCTATAGTATATCTATCTGATGGCCTCATATAATTCTACGCATCGCGGGTATCACAATGTGCAAATTTTTAATGTAAAACAACGTTTTGAAGTTATTTGTCGTCCCCGAAAATATACGCTCATTCTGTAAAGATCGGGGATATTCTACATTAATTCCATCAAAATGTTATCGCAGTTTGACGGTCTTTCATTAATATACGCATCGTGGGTATCAAAATGAAAAATTTTTTTAAATATTAAGTAACGTTTTTTTATTACCTACAGTCCCCGGAATCATACGCTATTTCGGTGTGACCGGGGACCAGACACGAACGTTCAAATCATTCTATATTTATTCGATTAATATATTATCTCGACCTGAGTG